AAGAGAACACGACTTATGTTAAACACAGATAAAATCTCCACGCTTTGTACTTTAGAAAAACATGTTCTACATAAAGAAGAAGACAGATTTGTTGTATTTAAAATGAGACTCTTGTAATGATCAAACAACATTATATTCACAATTACCATATTTTCTGCTTAAGTTTGAATTCAAAAATATTAAAACAATTTGCAAATATAAAAAATGGTTGTGATCACAAGAATAAACAAAATGTAAAATTTCAGATTTTCGAACCAGCCCCCTAATCCAAACTGGTTCAATCACAAAACATCTAAAACCTCAAATGTGCTTAGCCCAAAAAGCTCAGTTTTTTTTTATATAACTAAATCCCAATCTGATAATTTATAAGTTTGGGCAGGTTTGGGCTGTGGGTTTCATCCCTAATTGACATGTCTAAGAGCATCTCCAAAAAGACTCTCTATTATAGAGTTTGTAAAACTCTAAATTTGAAGTTTGAATGTGTTATACTCCAAAAGCAAAACTTCAAACCTAACTTTAAAACTATTTGTATTTTATATAATGGTCCTTATATTTGTCATAACTAATTCAAATTCATAAATTTTTATAAATAACTATCATGTATAAAAATATTATAGAAATATCATTTGATAAAATGTTACACTAAAATATAAAACTATAAATAGAAATATATAATTAATTATTAAAGTACAAACAAAATACCACATTATATCACGTAATATTGTTGTTGTCTACTTCTAGTTTTAAAATATTTTAAAGATTATCTTGATGCTTTTTTTTTAAATAGAAAATTTAAATTTATAAAAATAATTTTGAACTATTTATGAAATAATAATTTTAAAGATTAAAATGCTAAATAATAAATATTTAAGATTATTATAAATATGATGTGTAATTGTAAGGACCAAAGTATAAATAAAATATGAAACTTCAAATTTGAAGTTTTGAATAGTGACACTCTATATTTGAAGTTTCACTACTCAAAACTTCAAATTTGAAGTTTTAGAGTTCCTTTTTGGAGAGACAAAAACTTCATATTTGAAGTTATAGAGTGTCTTTTGGAGATGCTCTAAGCTTTTCATAATAACCATATACTGTTTTATTTCTCACTATGTCTAATAACTATTTTTCATATTTAACCTCAATACTTTTTTCCATATAAACTAGTATTCCAGACTTTGAAGAACGATAGTCAAATCAAGTCCCAAAATTTATTTAGTCTGAATCATATTCAATCCTATCCAAATATCTTCGATTTTTTATTATAGGTGTGACTGAAAAGACAAGTTCTAGTAAATATTTAAAAGTAAAATATATGAATTACGCTTCTCTTTCACCAATCACATACAGTGGCGGAGCCACGTAGAATAAGTGGTGGTCACCAATTATACGTGGCTAATTCAAATATGCCCCTATGTTTTTAAGAAATCTATCTTTAGTTTTATGAACAATTATACTATGCGGCCTATAAATTTTTTCTTTAACTCCACCTCTGATTACATAAGAAATGGATAAAAATTTACACTCGGTTACTCTTAAGGTGTTGCCTCTTAATGTTTTAAGAATAAAAATTTACTCTATTTTCCTATAAGAAATCCAATGTAACATTTTTTCTTTATTTTTATTCTAATTTATTTATTTATTCCCACTCTATTACTCCACTTTTTATTTTATACTAGTGGTATTCCGGCGCTCTGCCGTATTCATATGTTTTATTCTCTATTAAATTTAAAATTATTAATTTTTATCTATTTGATAATGTTTAGTGACAGTATTGGAAGTAGTTTTCACCGATCGATTCAATAAAAATAGAATAAATAGCTCATAGTGGCACTAAAATAAACATGGTTGAAATTAAGACATAAAGTAAAATTGATGTTCTAGAAGAAAAAAAAATGTAAAAGCATGTGTTTGTTTTGTGATTATCTTATTCAAATGAAAATAATAAATTCATTCATCCTCTCTTAAAGTAGTAACAATCCTAGCATGCTTTGTTGATGTCGAACGTGATGGATTGATAATCACAAAACAAACACATACATTGTTTTATCTTCAAATGTATGGAGCCATCACGAATTGTGCAACATGCCATGGAAAAACACAGAGTGTCTGTGGTCAAATGATTTTGGTTTTGTTTCAGTAAATTACTAAGTCATAGAATCATCGCTTCTCAATACATTGGTGGGAGTGAAAGATGAATATACTTTCCATTAGCAGGCACAGTGGTTTCCCTAGTGATTATAATCTTTGACTGATTGTGTGATAATCTATTTAGTAACAGATGCCAAAGATATCAAAGTGCTTAATCATTTGATTTTACAACAAAAATTTTATGACTCAATAATTTATTTTCAGTTCTCAGTTTATGTTTATTTTTTAGTTTTCTTTATTAAGTAGTGAGTTTCTGCAGCAAGTATAAAATATCTTCAAGATTTGGTTAGTGGTGTTCTGGTTCTCCTTTTGTATTTCTCAAACTAAGCTGGAAAACTGTAGGAACTGGAGACCAATGCAACTCTTTGAAGCTGGTGTTGTGTCTGAGCATTCTCTTAATCCGGAAGTAACTTACTTTGTAATCCAAACAGGAGAGCAGTTTCTAATATTCCATCTTTCTTCAGTTTCAAAATGCAATAACATTTTTTTGGGCAAAAGCACTTTATTCTCTGTAATCGGAGCTCCTGTCCCACTGCTGTCTTATTAGTCTCTAAGCAATCGATATCATTGTCTTTTGCTTACATATAATGAAATGCTGTTGATATTAAACAAATAAAACGTGTATATATCAGTGTTCTAGAACTCGTTAGGCGTTATCCGTTCGCTCGGGTTGGGCCTAGCGATTAATGAAAAAAATCAGAGATTAATCGGTGATTAATCGGAGAATAGTTTTAGGGCATTTATATAAATTTAATATATATTAAATATGTCCACATCCCCTATATATTATTTGAGAATTATTTAAAAAGTTGTAACCTTAAGTTTGTAAGAATTAAAAATAACCTCAATCCTATGTGGCATAGCTATTTGGCTTCTATTTCAAATCCCAAGGATTCTAGAGCATGTGATATAATGTATAGTCTAAAAATTATATTCTTTAGCAATATAATATTTCGTAGACTATAGTTGGTCGCATATATCAAATATTTATTGTTTCGCATGCTTTCCTTAAATAAAACATACGGAATTACCTAATGTGATTAAAATATATATGACAATTAATCATTTTAAACAATAAAGATTTGATAACAATCTGTATACTTTTTCTCATTTTGTTTATTTATTTATTATTAAAATAAATTACACAATTACAGTAATCATATAATAAAAATCGAGATTTTTTTTTGTGTATGTTGTATTTAGAATTTTTCAAAATGAGTATAAACTACTAAAATTGTTAAAAGTCTCACATAAACTTTTAGGATCAAGGTTTTAATTTGTTTTCTATATTAAAATATAATGATTATAAGACTATATGAAGAAATAATTTTAGTTTATATATATATATATATTTCATATCGTTTTAATTTAACTATAAATCGTATGAAAATACATACTTATATTTTGATTGTCTTCAACATATATTAAAAAGTTAATATTTTAATTTTGAAATATGTCATTTTTTAAAAATAATTATAAATTATTGAAATTACTAAACATCTCACATTAAAAAAAATCGTTGGTGTAAAGTTTTATTACACAAATATGCAAATAATCATAAAATCATATGAGTAGAAACCTCATTTAATAAATATCAATATTAAAAGTGTGCCATATTACTATGTTTATATCATTTAAATTTAATTCTATATCATATACAATATATAAGATTGATTATTTTGATTTATTTACGCTAATTGCGAATAAACAAAAGTGATAGTTAATTTATATGCATGCGTCAATTTATTACATAATATTGACTGATTTCTTAGTTATGTAATATATATATATTTATTATTTTATTATTTTATGATATGCAGAAAATTATAAAATAAATTATAAATATAAAATATTTCTTGTGCATAAAGTGCAGATCTTAACCTAAGTATGTATCTTTTTAATTATTTTAAATCTTAAGTATTTCCTAAATCTCAGGTCAAAAAAAAATAAACCAAATGAGAATAAACTTCAAAATCATTATTTATATCGAGTAATAACCAAAATATAAAAAAACACAACAAAAAAAAATTGAGGATAAATAGTATTAACACGTGAATGTAAACTTTTCATAACCATAATTAATTTTTAAATTGTTAAATCATGATATAAAACTGAGTTAATTTTTAATTTGTTAATTTTATTTTTTTAATTTCTTAAATCATTATGGTTATGTTAAATCATGACCATAATTAATTTTAAATTTTTTATTTGTATTTGACAAACTTAAAATATTGTTTTTAAAAATAATTTAAAATTTTATTTATTTTTTTTATAAAATTATTTAAAAAAATAAGAATTTGTAAAAAATATAGCTTTCTAATACTATTATACAAATAAATAAATTATATTAAATTAGTTTTTGAAACTTTATATATTTTAAATGCAATTATTTTTCCAACTGCTTTTTAAAAAAACATTAGGAAATTTACTAATATTCTACCAATCAAGCCCAATGACATTCTGTTTATTTTCCATCACTCGAACACTAAAAAGTGAAAAGATATATGAAATCGGTTCCATTAAATTCTAAGATTTGATCTACAGTTCTAATTACAATCTTTTCTGATCCTACGTATAGATAATTATTTAAAAATTAAATTTTAAATTTATCAATACTAAAATTTTATATTTTAATTACGTATATTCACCCTGTGCATATTCATCATGTGCAAAGTGCATGTCTTATCCTTGTTTCCCATTATTATTCATGGTATAGTGGATTCCTTCCTTCTAAATGTCCACTTTTTTTTTCCAGTACTAGGTTAAATAAAATATAAAATGAAGAAACTGACCCTATCTTCAACCTTGAGCTCTGCGATTTTGGTTGCTGTTTTAACTTTTATTCTCCCGGTTTCATGGCTTTTCATTGTTAATATTGTGGATTGTAACAAAAATATTATAGCAGATCTATCAATTATTATGTGATTTCGAACTAGAAATCAACAAAACAATGAACTCTTTATTTTTTCCGATGAATCAACTGAATCGGAGTAAAACGCTACGGTGTGCCACCGGCTCACATTTTTCCGGCGATTATACGGCCGCCGAGGACGCGTTTTTGAACAATGGTATATATTGATAAGTAAACCGGATACTGTGCGTCTTCTTGCCAATGAAGCTACTGACTTTTGGGAAGCTATGCTTATCGATTTCTCTAAGGATCTCGTGCAGAAAATATCAGAGCAAAAACATAGCTTAAAATTCTTTAGTTGGAAGTTATAATGCTAGAAAGAGGTTTCGAATTAACCTACAAAATATCTATGTTAACGTTTGCCATGGTGATAACTCCTACAACCTTTATTTCCTTATTTTGGTTTTTTACATCTGTCCTTAAACATATCATCTTTAGCCTTCCTTTTTCATGGGATCAAATATCATTCTTGCTATTTACGCAGATCCTTTATGCCTGATAGAAGCTTTTTCATTATCATTTTTCTTAGAGAAAAATATATCTTACATCAACTTCCAAGAGATTTTATACCTGCACCAGAAAAAGGACTCAATTTACATAATGTTAAGGAAAAAGTAATAACCCTTGATAAGCATGTTCTCCTCTACATTGTTATAAGTACCAGAATGAGTCCATTTATATATGTTAGATTTCTGATATAAGCTACTATGACCAAATGACATCATTGTATTCAATGTTTCCTGCATTGTTGATAAGTAGTAGATAATTGTAAGTTAGATTATTATAAGAACATGAAGTGGATGTAAAAGATAATAGGAAACAAAACCCCACAAATTAAGAGTTGAATCAAGATTATTGGATATGGGAGTCATTGCATCTCTGCCCTCTTTTCTGTTTATTCATGTGAGCTTGCTATAATAAAATTATTTTTTAAAAACGGAAAAAAGTTAGAAACTAAAACAAAATCCAAACAAACAAACAAAAAGATTTTCCCATTTGTCAATATAACCAAGGTTTCAAAATCAGAGAAAGGCATACTTTTAACGTGCCCCCTTTCTGTATTTTTCAGCTTGGTAGATCTCTGCACCTCTATCATACCATGACTTTGTGTAATTGTGATCCCTTTTCCATTTCCTTTGATGCTTCAGACTCTGTCAAAACCAACAAAATAAACAGAGTATTCGGTGTAAATGTCCAAGAAAAATAATGCAGAGAATCAAGTAAATATGTAATTATGTACCAACTTTTCAGAGTTGAGATACCAAAAAGAAGATGAGATATACTAAGGAGTGTGAGGATTGATTTCGATGGTTTTCAGCCAATAGACCGTTACAGAGGCTTGAATGAGAAATACCTCTAGGAGTAGAAGATTTACACATTATTATAAGAGTGAAAGTCGGGAAGCTTTGTGATGACAACGATTGAACACAATCAGAGTAGATAATACCTTATCAAAAAAATGAGGAAGAAGACGGGTGACTATTATCTTACTGCTTCAAATCCACTAACCTTTTTTTCAATTCTGGTTTCAGCTTTCGTTCTCGTCAGCTCCCTCGGACCCTCTCTCGGAATATTATGATTTAACAGCCCATGGTTATTTGTTAGGGCTTCTTGCTCTGTAGATGCTAAACTTGGTATACTTGTATCATTACAATATGGTCGACCCCTGGTTGTAGAGAAGTTCATGTCTTGATACCACATAGTCGACTTCCTTGTTAATTACTGAAACACACTAAAATTCTTAATTCCACCTACGAACCAACAAAATTTTGAATTATCAACAAAATATAGTCAAATGAAAATAAAATGAGTTTATCATATCTCTTCACTTGCTAAACTCAGAATAAAAAAAACTTGAAAAAGAAAGAAAGAAACTTGTGGATCTTGGTGCCAAACTTACCTTGCACAATTGGACGGATCGAGATGTTAACATCGTAGTGGAGAGGACCTTCTTGGATATTACCATTACTCACTCACAAATCATAGCATCTCACAGGTGTATTCAGTGACTGCAATCCCACTTCTAATATCAAGTTAAGATTCGATCTCGAGGAAAGAAACTCATGCTCTGTTCAAAACTACATGCACCATAAGAGCCACCAAAAGAAACATAAATATCTTAACAGGTTTATTAAAACCCCTATAACCTATAATCAAGAATCTGATTACATATCTTCTTTGCTTAATATCTTGGTTAAACATCTTTGTAGGTTTTTTTTTTGCGTGGCTTCTTCCAGAGTTGCCACTTCTACAGATGAAGATGGGTCTCTTGTACTTGTTCTTTTCTTCCTGGAACATGTAAAATGCCCTAACCTCAAATTTATAATTCTATAGCTTGGGCTCAGTCGCAACAATCACACCTCTGTATGTATAGAATCAGGAAGAGAAGAGATCTGAGACACATAACAAACGTTAAATGTGTGAGAATTTAGAGAATCAGAGAGAGAGTTGTATGAAGAACATGAAGAACAAAGAGGAGAGAGAGAAGGGCTTTCGTAAGCAAAGGAGAGAGTATGAGGAAATCTGTTTCCTTAATTCAAAATGGTATCCATACAAGGTAATTTAAAGACATAAATGGCATAAGAGGATAATAGAGAAAATATTAAACTAAGATGGTCTACACAAGTGGTCTGGCCGTGGATGGTGACAGGACATGAACGGTTCCAAGGCAAGATGAATACTATATTTGACTCTTGCCGACATTCCTCTTCTTGTCTTCATTTCCCAACGGTATTCTCTCCTTTCAAACTCATCAGAGGTGACTTAGATTAGTTCTCCTTGCCTTCCAAGAGTCTCTTAGGTTAGAATGATGTCTTGTATCCCAAGACTGTACGGAAAGACTTGAGTTCCAAGGCACAACCATTTCCCAATTCCTTGTACCATCTGCATCTCTTCTTCTCTATTTATGCCTTCATGTCAACACTCCCCCTCAAGCTTGACAATGTGGAACAAGTCAAGCTTGGGATCCATGAAGCATTCCCTCATTAAAACCTTAGCTAGGTAAAACCTCATGGGGCAAAACCCGAGCCAAGGAAAAAGAGTAGAACACTTCATGGTAGGGGATCTAGTGATGTGTAAGGTCTATGAGTTCAAGTTTAGGATGGATGAACTCACAAACCTTTGTACTTGCAGCCTTGGTGAAGATATCTGCCAGTTGATCCTCTCTTCTAGTATAACACGGCAAGATGATCTTTTGCTCCACAGCTTGTCTCACCTTGTGACAATCCACTTCAATATGTTTGGTTCTCTCATGAAACACATTGTTGGAAGCTATGTGTATTGCAGCCTAGTTATCACAATGCATAGTGATGGGAGATGTTGTCACAATACCCAAGTCTTGAAGTAGGTTTATGATCCAAATGAGCTCACTTGTGAGCTTCCTCATGTCTCTATATTCAGCTTCAGCACTTGAGCATGATACCACTTTTTGTTTCTTGCTCTTCCAAGTTTCTAAGTTGTCTCCAATGAATGTGCAATAGTCGGTTGTTGATCTCCTATCCACTCTATCTTCGGCCCAGTCAGCATCACAATACCCCTACAATCTCTGTTCTCTTGTTGCATCCCATCTAAACTCCTTGGCCTGGTGCTTCTCGGAGATACCTCATGATCCTCTTAACCATATTACAATGGTGTAGATTGGGAGCTTTCATATGCTGGCTCACTTGGTTCACTGCAAAGCTCACATCCGGCCTTGTGATGGTATGGTAGATGAGCTTCCCAACCATTCTTATATACTTCTTGACATCATCTTATGGTTTGTTCTCAATCCCCCCTCACACAAGACCTTGTACCCATCTTCTAATGGAGTTGTGGCTGCTCTTCCACCAAGATCACCTGCCTCACCTAACAAATAAAGTGTGTACTTCCTTTGAGATAAAAACATCCCCTCCTTAGATTATCATATCTCAATCCCAAGGAAGTACTTTAAATCACCCAAGTCTTTGATATCAAATGAAGTTTTAGGAAAAGTTTTGGTTAAGAGAATACCTTCCTTGTCACTACCAGTGATGATAATATCATCTACATATACAAGGATCACCACAATACCTCTTTGGCTGGTCAAGGTAAAAAGAGTCTGGTCTGGTTGAGACTTCACAAATCCTCTTCCATTAAGTGTGGTACTGAGCTTGTGATACCAGGCTCCGGTTTTTCAATCTGTATATGGCTTTCTTGAGTCTTAGCACTTCCCCGGCTTTACCAAGTGTTCTAGACCTGGTGGTGGGCTCATGTAGACTTCATCTTCAAGCTCTCCTTGCAAGAAAGCATTTTTCACATCCATTTGCCATAGATCCCACTCCAAATTGACTGCTAAGGCTAGGATGACCCGGACAGTAGTAGTTTGGCGACCGGAGCAAATATACCAAGATAGTCTTCCCCATATGTTTGAGTGAATCCTCTTGGTACAAGTCTTGTATTGCACCTCTCTACAGTCCCATCAGCATTGTATTTTATGGTGAAGATCCACATGCTGGTTACTGCTTTCTTCCCTTTTGGAAGTTCAGTTTCATATCAAGTATCATTGACGATCATGGCACTGGTTTCATTTCCTACTGGTTCTCTCCACACCTTATGTTCCATAGCTTCTTCATAAGTCTTTGGAATGTACTCCTGGTCGAGTTCCCCCATGAACACTACATGTTCTTGTGGATATTGAGCTAGAGAGCACACGACTTGTGTGGGATGAGCAAAAGCTTGAGAATTAAAGTAGACTCTTGTATCGATCCAATTAGAAGCCGATTTCATGATCCTAGTACTCCTTCTGAGTTCTGGTGGTGCTTCCTCATTTGGACCTTCTTCTTCATCATCTTAGGAATGTCTCTCATTTTCCACTGATCCTTCTTAGTCTTGTACTGATCCCTCTTGGTTTTGTTGCTCAGCTTTCCCATGAATGGTTTCTGAGCGCTCAGATTGGTGTGGCTCAGTATCATTGCCCCTCCTCATGGTCAAGGTGAGTATTCTCTTGCTCTTCTTGTATCTCAACCTCATCAGTGTTGATTTCAGCCTCTGTGGAAAAATCATGACCGGTCTCATCAGGTTCTCCATCTTTCTTTCTCATTGGTATGCTGACTCCAAGTCTTTCCATTACTTGTCTCAAGTTGCTCGCCCTATCTAAAGCAGATTAGGAGAGGTTTTCAAGCTCATTCCAGTCCTTGTTGGTATAGAACCCTCTAGACTCTATGAACTTCACATCTCTAGAAACCAAGACTCTCCTAGTCTCTGGTTCATAGCATTTGTATCCCTTTTGATTTGGAGAGTACCCAACAAACATTGCTCTAGTGCTTTTAGCCTCCAACTTGTTCCTTTGTTCTCCTGGTATCAAAACAAAGCAAAGGCACCCAAACACACGCATATGGTCAACAAATGGCGTAGTTTTGTTTAGTACCTCATAAGGAGAGTGATCCTGAAGCACTCTTGTTGGGATCCGGTTAATAAGATAGCATGCGGTTAGTACAGCATCTCCCCAAAACATTTTGGGTACACTCGTGTGGAACATCATGCTCCTAGCCACCTCCATGAGATGCCTATTTTTCCTCTTGGACACACCATTTTGTTGTGGTGTATTTGGACAGCTGGTTTGGTGGATCACTCCATGCTTTGGTAAATGTTGCTTAAAGGCATTGCTTGTGTATTCTCCTCCATTATCTGATCTAAAAAAAATAATATTTGCTTTGAATTGGTTAGATACATAGTTCTGGAAGACCCTATCCTTTGATTGCAATATCCTGAAAGTAGACATCATTAGGTGTGAAAATGACACTGCAATTTAGATCATTAGTGGCTCTTTTCACTGATAACAAGTTTGAGGTGAAATTAGGCATGTACAAGGCTTTGGATTAAATAACCTAAGATCACCTATCCCTTTAATTGGAACTATGTCCCCATTAGCTACCATGACATTTCCTAGTGCAAGGACAATATTCTTAATCAGGTTTAGATCACTTATCATATGGTGGCTACCCCCGGAATCAATTACTAATGGCTTTGGAGAATTTGAATTAGTAAGAGGAAAACCATTAGCTGAGAAAGAGGTACCGAGTGTTTACCAGAGTTATCCTTGAGGATCTTGATGAGAGCCTCCATGTCTGAGCGCTTGACGTTCTCATCTTGATTAGTCCTCATGGAAGAACAGCTACTAGTCGCTAGAGCTTTTCCGTCACCATTTCCAAGCCCATGAGAAGATCGATTAGTCCCTGAAGTAGATGGCTCGCCCACATCTTCTGAGAAGTGTGCTCTTGCATCATTGTAGGGAATCCTGAACTTCTGAGGCTTGAGGTGAGGATGGAGAAGCCAGCACTTGTCCTTCCTGTGACCTTTTGTCTTGAAATGATCGCAAACCCACACGTTCTTATCTTCAGGTTTAAAGTAACCTTTGTTGGCTACTCCTTCATCTTGATTGGCAAGGACCAACTCACCTTTGCCTCCAAAGAGACCCACAAAACCTTGCTCCTTCTGATCTGATGATATACCATGATTTTGACCCATTTTTGGTCATATTTTCTATATGTGTTTATTATAATTATCTATGTTTTGGAGTCTATTAGGTATGTTTTCAGGTCCAGGAGCATTTTGTCGTAAAGTGATGATTTAGGTGCCTTATCGAGCTTAAAGGAGAGTTTTACAAGTTGACTATGAAGATCCGACATTAAGAGACACATATCGATCGATACACACATTGTGTAATCGATCGATGACGATTCCGTAGAAGTTGAAGTCGAGATACTCCATCGACCGATGTACGCAATGTACCATCGATCGATACAGAGCGTGATGAGCAAGATTTACTTGGCCGACTTGAAGCCCAAGTTCTCACCAAATTACAAGACTTCCCCTGACGAGTTTTTAACCTAATTGTACTCCATATTTATAGTTATGCCTATGAGCCCTAGAAAGACACAAGGAGATCTATTAAGAAAGTTTTGTATTCTATTTTTACCTAAGCAATAAAAGTATTTTCTTTTCATCTTATTCTTTTGCTATGAATCTCTTGGCTATGTCTGAGTAGATTCATCTGTTAAATTTGGGGTTTAAATAGTAATGAGGGATTAGCCCCAACTATGGATTGTTGAGTTGTTATATTCATTATCCAAATGAACCCTAATGATTACTCTAGATTTGCTACCTAGAGTTATGATTATGGAGTGACTAATTTAATAGTCATTTTCTTGAAATCATTTGGCTAAACCCAGACTCTATTAAGGCTCGATGCGACAGCCGGTCTGATAGAAATTCTCGGGTGAACACAGTTTCAATCTAATCTGATACTTTATATCGATCAATACTCCTCTAGAGTCATCGATCGACGGCAGCATATATCGATCGACACTGCGATAGCAACATCGATCGATGCAGTCGGAAATCAGATCGATGGACGAGTCTAATAGCGACAACAATAGATTTATTCTAAGGGTTGAAGTTCTCATATATTTTAAAGCAATTTGTTAAGACATCCATAGATTTATAATCCTGATTTTCTGAATAGTAATCTTGAATCTAACTACTTTCTTTCATTGTTTTCAAACCCAA